ACACACACACACACACACACACACACACACACGCAAAGAACAATTCAGTACACAGAATGCGTATCATACCAGCCAACTGTCAAATTTTGCTCCTGCAAATGCAGAACTTCTTACAGTCCCACTAAAATTTGACACATAGTTTTACACTCCTTACGTTTGTACGGAGCCCCACAGGGGACACGGGAGAAAAAAAAATTAAGACGGATTTTTGCAAGATCTCGCAAAAGTCCGTCTTAACTCTGTTACCTAATGCAGATGCTTGAGAATACTGGGTTAAGTGGATTAAAGTATCAAACAACTCGATCTCATTCTAAAATATTACAGTTTTTCTTGATTGCATTGACCTGCCTAAAAAAAACTGGGCTCCATTCAGTTTTTAACATCACTATCTCAGCAGAGCAAGTATGTTAACAATTTTTTCACTGAATTGACACATTTTCCCACCAGACTGCAAAACAGTAATTACAGATGTGATTCAAGTAGTCCAAACCCCACTGTTTTAGCTGTAGTAACCAAACAGAAATATGTATGAAACCCCTAAAGCACCTGTTTGACACTCCAAGTTCAAGTTCAAGTTCAAATTTTATTCGCCACATGCAGTGGCAGGTTGCCCTGCAGTGGAATGAACCCGCCCCCCGACCTTACACACACAACACAGACATCACATGGGGATACAAGTCAGAGAACGGTTGCATTACAGAAAAACACTGAAATGTCCACTACAATGGGAAAGTACAAGAGGAAAAAAAGAGACCTCTGCTCATGCTGGGCTTCTATAGGAGGACAGCATGAGACCAGGAAACAAAAAAACTCCTTCTCACAGAAAGCACATAAATGTCAAAGCGTCGAAGGCATTTGGAAGGGGAGGAGGGATGAGTGAGTGCTTATCAGTGTAAGTGTATGTGTGTGCGTGTCCATAGTTCAGCTGAGACATTGTCCCTCGCCCTGCCAGGCTAAGTAAACAGACTGCCAGCCAACCCAGGTGGCCTTGCATGGAGTGGGAAGAACAGTCTAAACACAGTCGTTATCAGGGAGTTTTTGTTCGGCTCCAGCCTTGAGACCACAGCTGGCACCAAAGGGATAGCCACATTATGATGGTGGTTTTTCTTTAGTGCAAACAACTCATGAGAATTTCAAGCTGTTCTTAACAGTCTGACACTGGTCTCTCCATCTCCTGTTGGAGAGCCGCGAGCTTCTCCATGATGTTATCAAACTTGCGCTCCGTGGTCTTGTCATTCCTGTGCTCAAAGAGCAGATTCTGAGAACTCACCACCGCAGTGAGCTGCTCCAAGATGTGATCCAATTTATTCTGAGTATTCACAACAGCCGTAAGCTCCTCCAAGGTCTTATCCATGCTGCACTCAGTGAGCCCATTCTGCGAAGTTGCACCTCGTCCCATCGTTTCAATCCCAGCGAGCAGCCTTGGGGGGGTTTGAACAGCCGGTTCCGCTTTCTTAATTATCCGATAAGTCAGGGCCAAGCCAGCTCCAATCAGCAAGAACCCTGTTATCATGGTTCCGAATAGGTAGATATCTTCAGCGTCCTCGATCGACAGTCCAGCCAGGCACACGACCCTCCATGTCTGCCACCCGTCCATCGTGTATCCGGCAGGGAAAGTACCTCCAGGACACTCGGGCTTCTCGTTGAGTAAAGGGTGTCAATAGCATTCAGGGACCAGTTGATCAAATCCATAATTCTCTTTTAGGTTTTAGAAACAGACTGTGAGAGAGTGTTTCAGGGAAAAGTAAAAACACGAGACAAGACAAAGACATAAGAAGCTAAGCAGGGAAGATAAGGGAGAGCAGGAGAAAAGTGTGACCGCCTTCGCCAAGAGCCATCACAATAATCTTCAGTCTGCAGGACTTAAAAGGTGGCACGTCTGTGTTGTTCTTTACCAGCACAGATGGAGGCGGTCTGAGGCAAATGAGAGTGAGAGTAAGAGGTAGAGGGGTGCAGGTGTAGTTGGAAAGGCCCAAGTTTCAGAAGAAATTTGGGCAGCTGTTGTTGATCATGTTATCAATCATGGCCTTTTACTTAGAGGCTGGACAAAGAGTACAGCTTGTTCTAGACAGAAACACTGCTGCATTCATTGTCAGAATTTTTTGACTGGAGAACAGATTGCTGTGCAGTATATACAGAGATATCTTCAGTGATATACTTTGTGTAACTGTTTCCTCATTCCCATTACAA